GGCTTCTGCTTTGGCAGGGGGCTGACAGACAGAGACTTTTACAATCTCAGAATAATTTAAATATCACAGATTCCAACTCAGGGTGACAACGCAGAGGTGAAGATCAGCTGGCAGTCAGGGCCAGGAGCGTTTTGCACCTGCAAACCCCACCAAGTCTGGCATTTCTGAGCCCAAATCCTGTTCCCAGGCAGAGCCACCTGCACAAGGGAGGAACAGAACCCAAGCAGCCCTCCCCGTTTGGGACATAAGAAAAAATAAAATTCTACCACTGCTCCGTCTCCAGTCAGGAAAACAGTGATTTTCCACTCAGCCCTCCAAGAATAATTCCAAACCAAGCACTCAACTGAGGTGGGGGAACTGGATCCACTTCCCACAGGATCAGCACCACCAGGACCCCCCCAGCTGCAGCAGGATTTTATCCCCCATTTCCCCATATCTTAAAACCTTGGCAAAAATAACCCCCCATTAATCCTAAAGCACTTCACCCAAGCAGCATGGCTCTGCTTCCTCCTCTTCCCAGAGATAAACACCCAACATTTTGCCTAAGAACTCCAATTATGCTGGTTTAGGGTGAAAGAATGACACCATTCCCCCTCTCCCAGTGCCCAGGTGGGGCTGGTGCCAGCTGTGCCCTGCTGGGCAGCTGTGCCAGGATGCCTGGTGGGGAAGCAGGGCTGTAACCATGGCAGCAGCAGCACATCCCTGGATTTTGGCTCCCTCAAGTCATTTCTGCTTCCCTGCCTCAGCCACCTGCAGCAGCTCAGGGCTGGGGCCGTCCTCCCCTGCACACTGGGAGCCTTAAATTACCCTGAATGCAAATTAAATAGCACTGAATTCAGATCTCCCTTCAAGGCCCAACGAGATCCAGCAGCAATGGGATGTGCTTCCAGTGGAAATACAGATTATTCCAGTCTGGAGACACTCCTTCTACTAAATTCCCATCGCTGCATTTACCCAAGGGCTCTGCCTAGGAATGCAGCACATGGAATTTCCTCCTTGAGTCACATTCATATGGAATATTCTTTAAAATCAGCCTTTTTCTTCAAGTTCCTATCCCCCAGCACTCAGCACATTGTGAGGTAAAAGGGAATTAAATCTCAATTCTGCACTGTACTTTGTTTTTTATCCCCTACACAAAGCTCTGCCCTCAAGCCTCATTAATACCCATCAGATGGTTTTTCTGAGACACAGAAAAAGCTGCTCCTGGGAGATTCAGAGCTGGAAATCCTTATCCAGGCTGTTTATAAGCCTGGTCAATAGCAGATCAATCCAGCATCTGATCAGGCTGCTTAAAGAGTTTCTCTCTCTAACACCACAGCAACAACATGAAACGGAGAAATATCCCATCCAAACTGAGCCCTGCATTCCTCCTTCTCCTATCTGAACTCAAAAATCTCTCTCTAGAGAGGAAATGCTCAGAGTTCAATTAAAAATCACTTTTCTAGTTCCATAACCCTGGGCAGGGTGGTCAATCCTGTCGTAATTGAAGCAGCTTCTCCACCCACTTCTCTCAAGGTGAATCTTCCCAGATTCACCTTCAGTGGAGGATTTTGGATTTTTTAAGTCAAGGCCTAATGATCCATCCTGCCAAATTAGTGCCATCTGCACTGAAAATTCAGATTTTTAACAAGCAACACCATTCTGGGAAGAAGAAAGATGCCCAAAGGAATGACAAATTAACCAGGGTAAGATCCATGATTTTCATCTGCTACTCTGAAATATTTTGAAACTGGAAACAAATTTCAATGGTTTAACATAAATCTGATGTAGGAAAAAGACACCCAGTCTGGCATGAAATTCAATAGCAAAAAGCTTTTAGCATCTTGTAAAAAACACTGACTCAATGAAAAGCTTATGCAGGCTGAAATTGTAAGATGATAACAAAAAATGAAAGAGCTAAGCATTCTTTTTTAGTTTGCTCTAGTTTTGAAATTTCATGCTTACAAGCTATTAAGTTCTCAGAAAACTCCTTTTCAGATGCAGAAGAAATCAAATTTGACATGATTTAGCCACAGACTATGTTTGAATCAACAGAGATATCCCAAAATATTTCCAGAGAATTGGGAGAATTTCTAAACCCCAAC